AGAGTAAAATTGACTTTTTGAACTACTCCTATCACCACATTGATTTAACATTTATTACTGCTTATGTGTCACTCCTACAATTCTTCTTACTATTATATTTTATTTTATTTTAATCTAATATATCATTTTGTTATGCTTTTGGATTATTTTGTTACACGTTTAATTACCCAATGCAAAAGTTGGAAAGACAAATCATATTCAAATTCAAATACATCATTGAAATTTGTCTTCCCTCAATAAACTTTAACTCTCCTTAAGAATTGAAAGGACACATTGAGAGTTGTGGTAACAAAATACTCTCTTTAAATCAATTGCTCTCTATTACTCCATCATTCAAATTAGTCCATTCTTCAAACAAGAAATCTCTCTTCCATCTCTTTTTTGTCACTGTGGCTGTACACCACCATCAATAACAACTACATCAATACCAAATCTGGAAGATTAAAGTAGACATGATTTCTCCTCCTTTCCTCCACCACTATGTCTTCCACTACCGTCGTCAATGACGCCAAATATGATTTCTCCCGTCATGATATATACAAACAAAATCTTACCGAACCATTGAACTCTACGATTGCCACATGTTTCTCTGTTACAAGAATCATCGTGTTTGGCCTCCGCATGTTGAAGCCTCCAATGATGATCCACTTGTGAAACGAGTTGTTTGTCAATTTATGAATTTAGTTTGCTTTCAGATTTTTCTATTTGTTGATTTTGTTTGTTGATTTGTGTGCGAAAGTTTCGTTGTTGTAGTTGATACCATATGCTTCTATTTCTAAACTTGAAATTCTTGAAATTTTGTGTTTGTTACTTTAGGAGTGAAGTTAATCTGAGATTGTCTACTGCAATTTTAGGGTTTTAATTGGGAATCCATTTAGTTTCAATTTTTATATGAGACTGATTTACTTTTGTGCTATGAGGACACCTCATAAGTTATTTATATGGCACCCAAACACTTTTACAAATGTTTTATTATGGTAGATTTGCAGAAATGAAGATTAATTTGATGTTAGCTGAATCAATTTCCTTTTTCTAATATACAGGAGTTGTAGGTATTCTTGGATCAATATACTTCCAAACTTGATTCTAAGATATAGACCAAGGTGGAAATTTATAAGACTACGCTCAGGCAAGGCTTCCTAAACTAGACTGCTGTCTATATTAAATTTAATGTCACAAATCTTAGCGTTTAGATTTGGATTTCATTTCAAATTTTCATTTCAATCTATATACATTTTATTTTTACAACTACTAGAGATTCCTTATTCTCATTTCAATCATGTAGGTTTATACTAGATAACATTGAAGAGTTGATGTAATTAGGTGCTAAAATACAAGAACTTCTAGATCACAGGGTAACTGATATATGTCTATCTTCCTAAATGTATTCATGATCACAGGGTAACTAACATATATGTGCATTTCCTTTCATCAGAGGTTTTATATTCTGTTTCAAATATAATAATTATAATTTGAATTTAATTATTACCTAATTGTAATGATTCTCATCTGTAATGATTACCCAAATTCTTTGTTGGATGTTGTCATATTTTTTAGAACTTGCTGCAGAATCAGGTTGCTGATCATCCTTCAAAACAAACACTTGCTAAGGTGATTAAAGTTGTGATGTTTCAAACCTTATAGTTATTCTTTTAAATAGCAATGTTGTTTGAAAAGAATGATAATTAGTTATCAATTTATCATACTCATTGAATATTTTTATTTATGAATTTAGATTGATTCACTACAAACATTTAATGTCATTATGAAGTTATTTTTTCGATGTATATCTATATTCAATATTTGTATTCTCTGATTTGTAGGTACACTTAAGAGGATATCCAAGTAATATATTGTTTGCGTGTGAAGGTGAAGATATTGTAAATTGGAGATTTATTAACTTATTGAAAGAGGTCAGTTGTTTGACTTTTTATTAATAACACGATACCTCATGCCCATACATGAAAAAATAACATTTGATAGTTAGTATCTACATGTATGAATCACTAAACCAATATTGTCGATCGTAGAAATTAACAGTTTGTTCAAATTCCCCTATGCTATGGTGCTATATCCATGATTTGACAACATTGTACTATATATCATAACGCTGAACAATAGCGGTTGTTGATATGTTCAAAGTACCTGGCTACACAAAGCGTTATGCCTCCGAGTTCTCATAGAATTTCATAAATGCCTCTAAAAGGTGCTTCCGTTGCTAAAAGAAACTTAATGGTATTAGGCCTTAGTGTTAGTGACTATTATTATATCAAGAAACTGTTATTGAAATGTATAAAAAATTATATGAAAACAGGTAGAACTGGCAACAACAGTAAATCACAAACGTGACCATATATTTTGAAAACCAAAGAACTTGAATATATATTTTTTGATAATCAAAGAACAAATATATTAATATCCACGAAACATTGCTTGCAGTATGTGAAGCATCAAGTTTATAGAGTATCTTCAGCTTTGAGCATCCTCTTATTCTTGGTAATCATCACCATCTTCATCGACCGGGGCATCTTGGTGTTGTTGATATTCAGCAACAAGGTCATTCATATTGCTTTCTGCTTCAGTAAATTCCATCTCATTCATTCCTTCTCCAGTATACTTACAGCTTGGTTTGGTGAGTTTGAGGGTTCTGAAGCAGATGTCATAGAGTGTTTCATTATCAAAGATCATACATTTATCGGAATTTTCTACCAATTGGTGAACAAAAAGTGTTACATCTGCATCATATATAATTTGGTGGAAACAAGCTAGCCTTTGTTGCTGCACAAATTGATCAGGCTTTTAGAAATGAGGTTTGTTGATTATTTTAATTGTCTTAGTTGTATGTGTTAACAAAATCCATGAAAAATTACCACTTCCTAAGTGAATTCTCATGACTATTTCCTTTTGTATTAAACACATGCTTCTTCTTGCATCATTATCTTCAATCCATAATTACCAACAAATTTGTACATGATAATATATTTTATTTTCCTTCAAGCAGTAGGATGCATCCAACAAGGAAGAGAGGGAAACAGAGACTGGTATTAACTATATATTGCAGTAGGAGGAAGCACTATGTGGTGTCTACATCAATAAAGTGGAATAATATAGATGAAATCTTATGACTTCTATTTCATTTTTTTAGTCCTTATCCCTAGTTAGTGTAATATTTTTCTTTTTTTTTTCTCTCTATCTCTAATGTAATTTATAATATCTATTTTGTAACAGATTTTGTATGTTTATCGATTTAATTATTGTGTATGTGTTACTCTTACAAAAAAATGTTATGTAAGAGTTAAAAAAAATTATATGCTTTAAGTTAGTTTCAAGGTTAATTATGAAACATAATTTTTGTTTTCAACTATAAATATTGAATAACAACTTTCTCTTCTCATATCTCAAGGGATGTAGTTTGTGGCATTATTTATGACAATTTTAATACAAATTGTCGTAGTAAATTATTAGTTCAGAAATTTTTTCTTATTTAATTAAAAGAAATAGATAGAGAATATATATGACTAAGATGAAAAGACAGAGATATTACACACGGGTACCATGGTTGTTAAGGTTAGTATCCTGGTTCACAAGCCCTCATGTTTATATAATATTTTCATAGAGAATTTGACTTCATATTTATTGCTGCAAGTGGTGATTTTTTTCAAAGATTGAATATTAGAAGTAACTCAAATAAGAGAGTGGTTTCTTTCAAATAGTAATTTTAGTTTCTTTACTTTTATTTTTCTGGACGAAAAGTTGATGTAAAGATATTTTAATTTTAGTACAACATGATACATTGTTGGAGTGTTGAGAGAAATATAAAATGAATTTAAATAATAGATAAGGAATTAGAAATTACCCATGACTCTATATATCTTTATTATATGTTTTATTGTTTCTAATTTTTTATTTGATAAATACAAATTTTTTTGTATTATCTTTATTTTTATCTATGTTATTTCATTATTATTTCATTTTGATATATATTTTTATTCAATTATATTGATACAATTATTTTTATAAACAAAAAAATTTCATTGTTCATACAATTATATTTTTAAACGAGAGTAAGTTATAAATATTTTTATAAACGAGAAAAATATATTGTTGATACAATTTTTTTTATAATTGGGAATAACTTAAAAATAATTTTATAAACAAAAAAATCTATTGTTGATATAATTATTTTTATAAATGGGAATAAGTTACCAATGTTATTTTCAATTCAAAAAGTCTACTAGACATAAAGTGTAATGTGTATGTCAAAATGAATAGATCTGAATGTATCTATGAGATACCAGCAGTAGACTATTCATTTTAATATTCATATTTAAAATCTTTCTTTTGATGTCGACATATATTATTTCACTATAGAATTTATTTTTGACTAATTTTTAAAATCTTTTTAACAAAATCCGATTAACCTTAAACTTAATACTCTCTTGGTCATGTATATTAATCTAAAATTTGTTCATCGTAATGAAGATCCTTACAGACATAGATTCACGGGTAGATGTGAACGTATCTATGAGATACCAGTCGTAAACTATTCATTTTAATATCCATCTTTTAAATTTTTCTTTTGCTGCTGTTTTATATAATTGAAGTTAGAGAATCTGTTATACGATTTATTATAAATATGTATCAGTGATTATAAGTTGTAACTACGTGAATATAACTAACTGAATAAACGTAGACAAACTTTATAAATGATGGTTTAGTAGACGTGTAATGTGACAAAAGAGGCTTTTATGGAAAGAGACAAATAGTTCTTCTAATTTATTGGAAGATTGGAACTTCATTATTACATCATCTAAGAGCAGGGTAGTAGAATTGTCAAGTTTCATAGGCAGAACATACATTACATGAAGTATCATACTTCCTGTCTAATAAATTTATCTAGTAGTACTAGTACTATAATTTACGTTATGAATTAAATGACTGAGTATACATAAATTCCAAAACAAACATAACAATTAAACTTGTTTTGTTGATTAATGCAACTAGAAATTGAGGATGTTGGAGTAAGCAGTCCAGTTTTGTAGCCAAGGACTGTTAAGCTGAGTCCAAAAGGTATCTTGAGTCCAATCCGTTACAATAGGTAACTGTAACTCAGGAACATTGTCCTTCCCTAAGGGCAATTGCAAGGATGTTCCACAAGTCTTTTTGTTATTATCTTTCATCTGAGTCATTGTTTTTTCATAATATGGTTTCTCTGTCACAAGCAAAGAATCCATGTTATGAGTTTCGGTTTTTGTTACAGGTTCAGTTTCATGTTGAGATTCTTTCTTAGGAATAACTTGTTGGAACAAAAACGGTACGGACACGTGCTGGTCTTGTTGTGTGTAGTTAAAGGAGATTGTGTCCGTAGAGGAAGGTGGGGATGTAGGAGAACCAACCACAATTTGTTTCATCTCTTCTTCTTCTGCTGCTCTTTGTTCAAGCACTTTCAACGAAGTTGCCTTTCTATATATCTTGCACAACACTATGTCCTGTCATAATAAATACCATAACATGTTTTTAGTATTTATGTTGAATGAAACAAGAGGTTCATATAGGGACCACAATACATGTACAAAACGAAAAGTGTCACTACCTGCCTATTTTCATGGAAACTTCCTTACATGTCAAAGATATGCATGTTAATTAATTATTTACCACTAACTATGAAAATTAACTCATATTAGTCCAATTTATGATACCAAAAAGTTATGACTTATGGTCAACTAATTAGTCATATGATAGTAACCAAAAATATATAACAGAATGGGTCTAACTTAGACTACATAGTTAGAATTCAAATTCAAATTCAAAATAATAATATAGTACCTTAGGCAAGGGGCTATTGTCAGGTAAACGATACTCATTCATGACCCAATCGGTCTTGCTTCCTCGTGGAGCTCTTCCCTCATAGAAAACCAACGTCTTCCTCAACCCGATGATCCGCTTCGGATCCGACAACGTCACGATTTTCCGGTCCGAACCGGTTGCTTTCCAGAAGCCTTTTTCAGTTGTGCGGTTAGGCCTTCCTCCACTACCATGTTTTGTGTCCCTTGGAACAAAGAAATACCATTCTCTTTCCCCAACCTTTGACAAACCTATATACAATTCAAAACACATTAATATTTTCAATTAAATAAAAATATTATATGGTCTCTAAAATTTCAAATTAAATTAATATTGCAACACAAAATAATATGATAATAAAATTTATACAGAATAGAAAGCAAGCGAGGTTTTTTACCTGGCAAGTCCCAAGGATCATGGTGATAGATGTTGAGAAAACCAATGACATCGTAACGAAGTTTCTTGCCAATAACCATATTTTTAAGATAGAAATCAAGGAGTTCTTCTTCTGTGGGATGAAATCTGAATCCAGGAAGTGTAATTTCTTCAGTACTCATGTTCATGTCTTCCATTGATGCCATGTATATGTGCTAATTATTTTTTCTTGTGTTTGAGAAAAGGAACACAAAAGTTAGTGTTGGTGCTATTGCAAACACTTGAAAAGACTTGTTTAATTTGTTGAGTGAACATGGAATATAAGAGTGCATTTATAAGGAATGGTTTTTGTGTGCTTGTGTGAAATTATAGGTTATTTTCATACTTAAATTATTAATAACTGAGATTGTGCTATGACTTGGTCATATGAGATGATTATCTGCTGTTGATTAATCTATAGGTGAAATGGGAATCTAACGGTTGAGATTGTTTAGATGGCGACGGAGATTAATAGGGTAAAAAAGTCTTTTTCATGATGTATATTCATATAAATTAGAAAATGGAATTTAATTGAATTTGAGGATGTAAACATGATGAGATTTGTGTGGTAGGGTCATGGAGATGGGACCCACGCGTCTTGACCAGTGACTAATTGTTGTGTGGGGCCAGTAGATGACTCAAGTACATGTTTTGGTAATATTGTTATTTTTCCACATATTATTTTTCTTCTTATTTTGGACTTTTATCCGGTGATTCCTCTGATGGATCAAAAATTTCTAGGAGGATTAACATGTTAATTTGTATAGTGTGATTGTTATGAAAAAAAATGTAACAATGAGAATAGATAAAATAAAATATGTCATAGTCAAGAGACAATTAATGGATAGAGTAGAAATTCAGTCCTTTAATAGTTGCTTAGAGAATAAGTAAATAAATAAAAAATAAAAAGAAACATAGACATTTTAGATATAACACGTAATTGTGAAAGATTGCATTCATTGTCTAGAAAAGATAAGAGAGCAAGATCTTTATTACTCTTGAGAATAGCTTCAACTTTCACTTTTATATATATATATATATATATATATATATATATATATATATATATATATATATATATATATATATATATATATATATATATATATATATATATATATATATATATATATATATATATATATATATATATATATATATATATATATATATATATATATATATATATATATATATATATATATATATATATATATATATATATATATATATATATATATATATAACAATGATCAATTTTATTGAAGTTAATTGCACTAATGAAAATAATCATAACTAACTCTTAATCTCTCTATTGAGATTATAATTTCTTGAGTCGAAGTAACATGTTACTCGATAGAAATAAGGTTATGTCGAAACTAGTTGAATGTATGTCGAGTTGTATTAGATATCGAAGTGTCGAAGCTGATTGTTTTATACAGGATTTCGACTTAGGTCTAAACAGTTATTTTGGGCTTTTGTATTTGGGCCTTGACTTAGAAAGCAATCAAGCTCAATTATAAATAGAGGGAGTAACTCCTATTTTGCAAGAACTGGAATTTTTGAGAAACTTGTACTTGCAAGAGAGAAATAAGTGAAGTTTTCACAGTTTGTGGCAGAGAAAACTCTGCATAAATCATCTTCTTCCCCAATTTCTGTCAAACCCTAATCTTCTTTCTTTCTCAATTTTCTTTCTTTTCATTGTTATTGTGTAAAGATAGTCATCTTGCAATCAAGGTTGATTGATTCACTCAAGTGAAGAGTGAAGAACAAGGAATTTCGATTGGTGTTATTGAATCTTGTTAATAAAGATAGATTAGAAATTCTCCATAGTTTTGGTGGATTTCCAACATCTCGTATCTAGAGCGCTGACTCGCGGGAAGAAAATCACAACGACAATGAATCATCCAAATGGGCATTTTCCAACAAGTCTTCCAATTCTGAAAGTAGATAACTATGAGAATTGGTGCAAGCATATGAAAGTTGTGTTTTGTTGTCAAGATCTTTGGGATCTTGTGAAAGAATGATTAGAACTGCTTGAATAAGATGCATTGGAAGCAAGAGAGGCAGCACACAAAGAATTGAAGAAGAAGAATTATGAAGCTCTCTTTATAATTCATCAATGTCTGAGTCCAGACAACTTTGAAAAAGTGAGCGATGTAGAATCTACAAAAGAAACCTGGGATATTCTTGAAAAGTCCCTTGGAGGTGCAGAAAAGGTGAAATAAGTGATGTTACAAACTTACAAAAGAATGTATGAATTACTTCAAATGAAAGAAAGTGAGAGCATAACAGATTTCTTCACTAAGGTTACGAAACTAGTGAATTAAATCAAAATATGTGGAGAAGCGTTAACAACAAGATCGGTTATTGTAAAGATCTTGGGATCTTTGGATCCAAAGTTCGACCATGTGGTAGTCGCCATAGAAAAGTCGAAAGACATGTCAACTTTAACGAAGGAAGAGCTTCAAGGGATGCTTGAATCTCATGAACAAAGAATGGCTGAAAGAGCTGCAGGGAAATCGAAAAATGATATGGCTCTGCAGGTGCAATCAATAAGAGAAAACAAAGGTAGAGGAAAGTGGTTCGACAACAGAGATAGAGGAAGCTACAACAATTAGAATGGTAGAAGAAACTAGTGGGAAGGAATTGTGTCGAATTAGAGAAGACCTTCATATTAGAGCAACCAAAAAGTTGGTTCCGAAGGTAGAGGAAGAGGTGGTGGTCGAAAACCTAGCAAGAGTCACATTCAGTGCTTCAATTATCAGAAGGATGGTCAATATTCAAGTGATTGTCCAGAAAAACAAAAGAATGAAGAAAGTGATGCAAAGTTTGCAAAACATGAAGAATAAGAGATGATGTTGATAGTCACAATAAGAGATGAAGAGAAATTCAAGGACCAATGGTACTTGGACTCAGGATGCTCATCACACATGTCTGGAAGGAAAGATTGGTTTGGCAACATAAATCCCTTGATGAAAAACATGGTGAAATTTGCAAATGACAATACTCTAGCAGCTGAAGATATTGGTGATGTTCTAATTATGAGGAAAGATGGAAAAATGTCAATAATTTCCAATGTTTTGTACATACCAGGCATGAAGATAAATTTGCTCAGTATAGGGCAGTTGGTCGAAAAGAATTATAAAGTGCCGATCAAAGACAAAATTATGAGAGTCGTCAAAGCAAGAGGAAGGTTAATCTTGAAGGCTTATATGTCTCAGAATATAACCTTAGAGATCAAACTAAATGTGATGGAGCACAAGTGCCTTAAAACTGCAGCTAGAAGGGATGAATGGATAAGGCACTATATACTTGGCCATCTCAACTTCAAAGACATCAGAGATCTGAAGAGAAGAAATATGGTTTCAGGGTTACCATAAATCGGTATTCCAAACGAAGTGTGTGAGGAATGTGTACAGGCGAAGCAACACAAGAAAAACTTCTACCAGTATACAGGAAGCAAGTCGAAGACAATCCTTGAAGTCATATACTCTGATGTATGAGGACCAATCTAGGTGGATTCGATTGGAGGTAACGTGTACTTTGTCACTTTCATAGATGATTTTAGTCGAAAACTATGGACTTACCTAATCAAGAAGAAAATTGAAGTGATCGAGTTATTTGTCAAGTTTAAATCTATGTCCAAAACACAAAGTGGTTGAAAGCTCGATATTTTGAGGACTGGTGGTGGTGGAGAGTATGTGTCGAAAGACTTTGATGTATTATGTGAAAAAGAAGGGATTGTGCATGATGTGGTTCCACCCTACACTCCACAACAAAATGGAACTACTGAAAGGAAGAATTGAACCATCATGAATATGGTGAGAAGTATGTTGAAAGGAAAGCATTTACCCAAGGTATTTTGGGGTGAAGTTGTGTTGACTGCAACATACATTTTGAACATATGTCCAACAAAGAAGTTAGAAGGAACCACACCATAAGAATGTTGGTATAGTGTCAAACCTAGATTGAGTCATATGAAAGTATTTGGATCTATAGCACATAGACATGTGCCAGATTAGTTGAGAAGAAAGCTTGATGACAAGTCGAGTCAAATGATCCTAATAGGATATCATTCGGCTGGTGGATACAAGTTATTTGACCCAATGAACAAACAAGTATTGATCAGCAGGGATGTGATTATAGATGAGCTTAAGGAATGGAATTGGACTGAAAATGTCAAAAAAGACTCAGTGAAAATCTTTTATAAAGAACCAGCCACTGAAGTTGAAATAGAAGTAGTTCGACAGAAAGAAGTCAGAGGTAAAGCAGGCCTAAGCAGACCTCAAAGAATAAGACGAATGCCTGCAAAGTTGCGGGAATGTGTGATTACATCATATGATGTGGTCGACAATGAAGGTGAGTTGGTACACTATGTTTTCTATGCAGATGTCAAACCAGTCAATGTAGTTAAGGCATTGAAGGATTCAAAGTGGATGAAAGCTATGAATGAGGAACTGGAGTCCATCAAAGTCAACAACATTTTGTCATTTGTTAAATAGCCTCAAGGCAAGAAGGAAATCGATGTGAAGTGGGTATACAAGGTGAAGTTGAATCCTAAAGGAGAAATAACTCGACACAAGGCAAGACTTATGGTGAAAGGATTTCTTCAGAAAGAAGGAATCAACTTCGATGAAGTTTTTGCACATGTTGCTAGGATTTAAACACTCAAGTTGGGTTTTTGGTATAGCATAAATGAATAGTTGGCACATATGTAACATGGATGTGAATGTGTGTGATACGGTGGGAGAACTGACTTGAGGTTTTGCGTTTGTGTTTGCAAATGTTTCAGTTTAGCAAGAGTCGCCACCGACTTTTTATTTTATCCTAAGGAAAGGTCAAAAAGCACATGAAAGACCTTTGAGATGTTTTCTTGGGTTCGGGGAGTAGATTATGAAAAGGGAAGGTGCAAGCACCCTTTTCATCCATGGTTATCCATGGACTCTTAGTTACTTGTTTAGATCACTTGCTTTTGCTTTTCAATTGTTTGAAATGGTGCTTTGTGTGTGGTTTTGAAAGATGTTTTGAAAAGAGGCCATCGTTGTGGTAACCTTTGTAATGATTCTTGTTTGAATGTATACAAAGGTGTATTGTCTTTTGAAAAGATTTCAATGTTTGAAAGTTTGTTTTTGGGAAATATTTTGAAATTGTGTGGTGAAGTGTG